AGGGGGGGGGCTGCCGGCGATGCCAGGGCTGCCGGCAGTGCCAGCGGTGGATGCTCGGGTCACGGTCCTCCTTCTGCCATCTGCCACCTGCCACCACCTGGGACGCGTGGTGGCAGGGACTGTAACTGCGTGGAGAAGGGGAGACTTCGCTGATCAGTCAGCGTCGGGGCTGTGCCTGCTTGCAGCACTGGGGGTGCCCGTCCCCTGCGGCTCAGGAACATTGGCACATCGACGGGGCCCTGGGGATTTTGGAGGCTGGGAGGTAGCCCTGCAGCAGCACAGGCCAGGCAGCAGGCTGGGACGGTGTCAGCACATGTGAGCTGAGTCTGGTGGGTCTCAGCACGCGGGAGAGATGACTGAGGTGCAGGTGGGCTTTCAGCCATGCAAAGGCACGATGGCATCGGTGCTGAGCGAGGGCTGTGGGGAGATGGGGCTGGGACACGGGGAGCACGGGCAGCCTGTGGCTCTCCAGCACGGTGTGAGTGGCACCGGGACATGTGCCTGTGCGGGGTCCTGCAGGGTTTCATCCCCAGGGAAAGGTTGCATAAATCACAATGAATAACGTACCAAAGGTGGGGAGCAGCACACGAGAGGCTCCGGCTGTGCCTGGCACCCTGATTCTTCTGTCTGGTTTGACGCCCGTCCTGCAGGAGGGTCCAGGGGCAGCGAGTGCTTCCCGGGCTCACCCCTGTTTTGGCTTCCAGAGGGCGGCCCCAAAAAGCTGCGCAGCAACATCCGGAGGAGCACGGAGACCGGCATCGCGGTGGAGATGAGGACCAGGGTCACCCGGCAAGGCAGCCGGGAGTCCACCGACGGCAGCACCAACAGCAACAGCTCCGACGGCACGTAAGGCACCGCGGGGTGGCACGGGGGGACGGGAGCTGGGGCTGGGCACCCTCCCTCTGCTCCCGGGGGATCTTGCTTGAGACCCGTCGGCCTGATGCTCGACAAAAGCCCTTTGCTCTCCCTGCTCTCCCCGGCACAGGTTCATCTTCCCCACGACCCGGCTGGGCGCCGAGAGCCAGTTCAGCGACTTTCTCGATGGGCTGGGCAGTTGGGGGGGCGGCAGACGGGGGCCCCCCCGCCGATGGGTGAGTGCCAGCCGAGGGGGATCCCTGCCCGGGGAAGGGGGTGCCGTCTCCAGCCCCGCAGAGCAAGGGCTGTGTCTTGCCTGGTGCGGGGCCGGGCAGTGCAAGAGGATGCTCCAGCGAGAGGGAAGGGGCTGCGGGGGGGAAAGTGTCCCACCGGCTCCGGGGGACAGGCTGGATCCCAGCAGCATCCCTTGCTGCTGAGCACGTGCCGGGTCGGTGCATGGCTTGCAGATGCTCTGGCCTTCCCCTGCTGCTCCCGCTGCCGGCTCCGCGAGGGGAGGGAACGTCCCGTGCAGGGCTCAGGGCAGGACACCCGCAGGGGGAAGCAGCAGCTCTGCCTTTTCCCGAGGTCTCCTCTGCCCCTCTGCTGTGCATCGGCTCCTCCGAGCATCTTGCTGCAGAGGGGACCCAACAAAACCCGGGTTTGTTCCATTTTTCCCTTTTAAATCCCAAATGGCTATAGAAAGTCGTGCCCCAAGTCTGAATTTCCAGCCAGCAGCAGCGTGTTCCCAGCTGCTCCCAGGGCACACCAAGGTGTCTGCCCCGCGTCCTGCTCAGGAGCTAGAGCTGCTGGGAATGGGGAGAGCTGCCCCGGGGGAGCCGCAGTAACCAGGGTCCCCCGTCCTGCCCCCCCAGTCCCTGCAGCACAGGGACCTGGTCCTGCTGGCCCCGCATAAAACCCCCGGTGGGAGGGAAGGGAAGGGGGGCAGTTGGACCCCTCTGGGTTTGCCCACCTTCCCAGGGAGGGTACACCGCCGGCTTCCCTTGGCGCAAGGTCCCGCAGTGCCCGCGGCATGCCAAATCCCTACGGCTCCTGCCCTTCCCCCTCCCCTGCCGCAACAACAGCTCGTTCCTCTCCCGCCGGCCGGTTCCTTGCGCAGCCCTCGGCGCTGGCCCTGACTTGCTGTTGAAATGCCAAGTGTGTTTTGAGAACATCCAGGTTCATCTCGCTCCTATTAAACCCCGCTGGGACGTCAGCTTGCCCCTTCCCCATCCCCACTCCCCCCCCGGGGCCACAAGGCAGCGGCGACAGGGACCCACCAGCCAACGGACATACGTACGTACGAGCAGGACAGCAGGACAGCGTAAGTGGGAGAACAACTTCACACCGAGCTCAAGAGGTGCCCGGCCACGTTTTTTCCTGCGGATGCCCCTCCGCAGGGAACGGGGAAGGACCCCAGTGAAGTGTCCCGGGCAGACGGGCGCTGGCGGGTGCTGGCCCCGGTGGGGTTGCTCAGCCATCAACCCCTCCTGCCCCAGCCTCTCCTGCTCTTGCCAGGGTCTCGCCCGCCCCCCGGCTGAGGGCATCGCCTGGTCAAGGCACAACCCTGGTTAATCCCAGCCCCTTTTCCCATCACGAGGGAAAAAAAATCCCCCTGCAAGACCGCTGTGGGATGGAGCCGGCAGGGAGGGCGGGGAGGAGGGGAGCAGGGGGCTCTCACCTGGTTCTCTCTTTGCTGCTCAAATCCAAGCATCTTCACATCAGCTTGGCTTTGTCCTTCCTCCAAATTCATGATAAATCACGCACCCGGTGGCGGGATGCTCGGTGCACTTGAGCGCTGGGTGCTGAGGATGGGGAGCAGGCGGCGGTGTGGGGGTGCCGAGGCTGCCAGCCCCGGAGATGACATCTCCCACCTGCTTTTTGGCAGCACCAAAAGGGAGAGCTGGTGGGGACCAGCCCGGCCCAGGGCTGGGGCTGTCCCCGGTGGGAGGTGGCCATCGGGGAGGGTGCTGAGCACGTCTCGTCCCTCTGCCCAGGCGATGTCCACATCGGCATGGCTGACCGGAACGGGCAGCTGGAGGTGGAGGTGATCCAGGCGAGGGGACTTATCCCGAAGATGGGCTCCAAGTCCATCCCTGGTAGGTGGCTGGAGAGGGAGGGTGTCGGGGATGGAGGGGGAATGATGGAGACGGGCGCTGTGCTGGGACCATCACAGCAGCCTGCTCCGAGTCAGTGTTTCCCACCCGTTTTCCAACGCAGCCACCTACGTGAAAGTTTATCTGTTGGAGAACGGCGTCTGCCTGGCCAAGAAGAAGACCAAGGTGGTGAAGAAAACCTGCGACCCGTCATACCAGCAGCCTCTGCTCTTCGAGGAGAGTCCCCAGGGCAAAGTCCTGCAGGTGACGTACTCCCCGCACAGATACTTGGGGACAGGGAGGGATTAGGGGAGCAAGGACAGGGCATAGAAACCCGCAGCCTCCCCATCCCGATCACGGCGGGCCCTTCCCCGCCGGGCACGCCGAGTTTGCCGAGTTTTCCCCAAAACTCCCACCCGGCGAACGGGGCAGGTCCCCTAACGCCTTCTCTGCCCCGCAGGTGATCGTCTGGGGAGATTACGGGCGCATGGACCACAAGTGCTTCATGGGGATGGCCCAGATCGTCTTGGAGGAGCTCGATCTCTCCAGTGCGGTCGCGGGCTGGTACAAACTCTTCCCCACCTCCTCGCTGGCCGACTCCAGCATCGGACCTCTGACGCGCCGCCTCTCCCAGTCCTCCCTGGAGAGCTCCACCAGCCCCTCCTGCCCGTAGGCGGCAGGTTGGTGGGAGAGGCCGGGAGGGGAAAGGAGACGTCCTGACCTACCAAAACTGTTAGTGGATAGCTGTAAATACCCTGTCCCTTTTTTTTCTTTTTTTCCTTTTTTTTTTTTTTTTTAAAATCTCCTTCCCGAAACAAACCCACTCTCGACACACTCCTGCCCGAGCATGCGTCCCGGCGCACAGAGGGGGACGTCGGAGAGGGAGCGAGGGCCGTGTGTTTTGAGGCAGGGGGAAGGAGAAGCAAAACCCACCCCCCCTCATGAAGCAGACCGAGGGCCGCGAGTGCCAACCGATCCCGAGACTGTTACCGCACCTCGTCCCGTCACCCCGTCGGAAAGGAATCGAAGCGACGCGTTTCTCTCCTGACCCCCCGGCGAGAGCATCTCGGTCCGATTCATTCAGCGCCGCTGCAAGCAGCATGTTGACGAGGTTTCTTTTCCTTCAATTTCATTTCCTTGCCTCTGAGGAAAAGGTAGCTTTTCAAAGAAAAAACCTCAGAAAAAATCCAACTCAGCACTATTTTTTTTTTCTTCCCAAGGAATGTAGCATCTTCTATTATGTAGCTCGCCACGTGCTAGCAACACACTCACTCTCTGCAATATCCAAGAGACTCCGGATTGACCGGAAACATCTGGCAGTCACTTCCCGTTTGTTCGTTTTCCAACACAAATCCTGCGACACTGAGCAAGCACTTCTGGTGGCCGTTTTTCTTTCTATTTCTAATTTTTTTTTTCGGTAGCATGTAGCCTGTGACCAGTGACATTGCCAAAGCGAGAGAGAACAGAAAAAGGTGCACTCGCCTCACCTAAGCATACGCTGGTCTTATCCTCGTGTTTCACCACTGACCGTGGTCTTGTACGGCCAAAGCAAGACCCAAAAAATAAACTCTGCGATGCCTCACGTGAAAATTCGAGTCAGGAGAAGGTGACCTGACGGAGCAGGAGTACCGTGATGCTGGCTGATCGTCTGGCTCCCAGCCCCTTCCTCCCGCGAGGGCCAGCTCGAGGTCTGGGGTGCTCTCCTCGATACTTGAATTTCAAGTAGGAGCAGAGGGTTTGCCAGACCCCGCGGCAGGACGCACCTTTCTCTAACTCTCGACTTGTTGGTACGCTACAGGGGAACATCTCAACAGCATCTTCTGCTGATCTGGAATTAGGGTGACTGAGAGGGTATGAACAAAGGACTAGATGCTTTGAATTTATTATCAGGATGAGTGTTTTGGGTTTTTTGTTTGTATGTTTTGTTTGTTTGTTTTTAAAGCAGCATTTTGGTTCCCCCCGAGGGACCAGTTCTTGTAGCAAAACCGAGAATTACGGAAGCTTTTTTTGAAGGTGCCTAATGAAATTTGCTGAAAATACTCAGGGGAGACACCACTAGAAACTCTGGTTTCTTCATAAAATATACTTAACACAATGACTGTCCTGAAGGATCAGTTTCCAAAAGAGAGAAAAAAAACCAACACACCAAAAGATGAGCAGTCTTGAGACTGGAAGAGGACAAAAGGTTAATGGGGAATTTATACCGGCCAGACGGCTCTGACCTTCAGTCTTTAACACAAGTCAACCCACAGCACAGTTGGGATTTTTTTTACAATTATTTATTGGCAAAGCAGAGAATTTCACAATGCACAGAGCACAACAAAACCAACCTGTGGTTCTCCTGGTGACGCCAGGAACGATGAACCAGCTTGAACCTGTTGCCACAACGGAACAAAACCAAACCTGAAGGAAAAGACTGTTGCGATGAAGCTGTCCCCTCCACAAACCCAAAACCGGGGGTCAGCGAAACTCCACTGCTCGGCAGCTGGTTTACCCGACACCGCCACGATTTTAGCGACGTCGTGTCAAGGAACTTCAGCTGCTATCGTGGACTTTGGATCTTTACCAAACCAAAATCACTGCAGACCGAGAAGAGAGTGGGCTGGATGCTGCTGACCAGGGATGGAGAGGGGCCTGCTTCAAGACCCCAGTGCCTGCCTTGTAAAAGATTAAATCCTCGTCTGCTAGAGCGGTAAGTGCTTTTCCAAGCAACGCGCACCGATTTCTGAGCTCGTGCTGAATGGTGACGCATAGGACCGTAGGATGCACTAACAGGCTCAAGCGGTTTGAGGAAGCAAACTCGGTGCCCTGACTACTGAAACAGGAATAAACAACGGTTTGAACACGACGTTCCTTCCAGAGCACGAAGCAGTTATAGGAGGTCAACGACGCCTGGATGAGGCTAAACTTTTTCTCTGCCCCAGCGTGCTGGATTTTTGAATATACGTGAGGGAAGGCATCTTAAGAGGAAAAGCTTTCTGCTCCTTCAAGCTAACATTATTTGCTTTCGCTTTACCAACTTTATTTCAAGGGAAAAATGAAAAATCTGCCTGTGGTGGAACAATAACCACGTCCACAGAGAAGTGGAATAGCAGCGTGGGCAGGGCAGGGAGTTCTGCAGGTATTTTCTGCTCACTGGTGTGGACGCAGCATCCCACCCCCTTCCCCTTCCAGCACAGAGCTCGCTGGCTGTAAATTTCTCCAGGGAGTTGCAGAGCTTTACTGCTCTCCCTCTCCACGAGCAGCATAACGCTTTTCTCGAGATAGGGAACAGAAGCTGATGAAGAGCAGCAGGAACACCGGGACAGCCGGGCACGCACCCACAGCAGCAGATGCCCGAGGTCTAGCAAAAGGCTCACCGGTTCTGCGCCAGTTGAAAAACCTGCCCTTGCTGGCACGTGGAAAATCCAGAGAAAAGAACTATCTTCTGGAAGGCACACCTGGGTACTCCAGGGAACACGGAAAACCCAAATACTTTGGCTTATTTTTTTTATCATCGATAGACTGAGGATGCCTGGGAGGGTAACAGCGTAGCTAACATCAGAACAAACGGCACCCCAGTTCTTTCTCAGTGGTGTATTCTCATTTGCTGCGACGCGATGGGCTCGTGGGAACAATTCCTCCTGCTCACCGAGAGCCCGGCAAGGCGGAGCCACCGTGCCGGTGACTTCAAATGATTGTTGCTCACTAGACAAACTGAAACCCATCAAAACCTTAGCTGCTTCGTTTTCAGCGCCACGCGTCCAGTCCCCCCAGGGAGCTGGTACTCACTTCTCTGGGGAAGCATCTGGGTCAGGACCCACCTTACACTTGTGTAGAAAAACTAAAATGGGAGAAGAGACCGAAGTGTGCCACGTTTACATTGCAGCATCAGCTCCTTCCCATTTCTGAATGCGTGAGACCACACGTCAGATGTTTTCCCTCCTTGAACAACAAGAACAAAAGAGCCAAGACAGCCAGTTGCTTTCTACACACGACACACCAGGAAAACCACAAGCTTCTGGGCTCCAGTTTTTTTTCTGAGGGAATGTTTTATTGCAAAGGACAATTTTTTTAAATGTACTATATGATTTGCAAAAGGTGGCTGCACTGACTAGCTATTACGTGTTAGATTCTTTCCTCCCTTTCCTCCACCTTTCATCAGGAAAGGAAATTCAAACCATTCGACTTTCCAGATATTTTCCCCTAGAAAGAATAATTAATATTAAACTGAATCAGCTTTGCAGCCCGTTTTATACCCAGCACTCCCAGCAGTAAGTGAGCAGCAAGTAGCACGCAGCACCCACCTGAGACACAGAAGACCTTACTATGGCACAGCTGACAGGAGATGCTGGTGTCAGAATCAAGGCACCCTACTTGAGTAACGAGGATGGATTTTGCCAAAATAGCCTTGAAATGATACTTAAACATCCCCTAAACTCTAGTAAAAAAAAGTGTCTCGGCCATGCAGCAAAGCGCAGAAAACACTAAAACTCTAGTAAAAAAAAGTGTCTCGGCCACGCAGCAAAGCGCATGATTTCATGCCCAGGCCTAAGTTATCCCTGGGTTTTCTACAAGCCTGGAACAGGCTTTATTTGCCAAAGCTGAGTAACCGAAAATTTTCTGCAGCACCAGAAGGTGGGCCAGGCTTCTGGGCTCAATCAGAAATTAGCTCCCGTTTCATCAGCGTCATAGCATGTTGAAAGCACGAGGAGAGGATGCTTAGACATAGTTTTCCTGAAATCAAGTGAGATGCAGAACCAACTCCCTGGCCAGCAATCAGAAAATGAAACCTATTAAGTGCAACTGAGATGGTGGGAAGTATTCCCTCCACAGCCACCTTTTCCAGCTCTTTTTCTCCAGCAGCAGTTACAGATGTAGCTCTCGATTGCAAATACGAGACCAGAAATTCCTACAGGAGATCAGGATTCCCTTCGCTGGTAGGGAATCACTTCTGTTCACTGTCTTACACGACTGCTCTAGCAGCGATGCGACTTGAAAAGTCAAGCCTGTATTCGTACGTGTTTGCGCACATCGGTGCACGTGAGAGGAGTTAACACATTTAAATACCTTTGCTTGTTTAAGTGGGCTTGCAAATACTCAGCAGCAGTGAGTACAATTTAAGGGTCTTTACTGATGTAAGACCATTTATAAAAACAGCACCGGTGATGTTTTTTCAGGCATAGAGTCCACCTTCTATTTTCTTCCAGTTGACTCGGACACTTCTTCCCAGATTGATGTGAAACGCTTGGACAATGCATATCTGTGAACTTCCTTAAGGGTGTGCATTTGGTTACTGATTTGGAAAATAACTGCATTTTAAAGGTCAAGGAACAGTGTTCAGGCACCGTTCTTCTTGATGGCTGAATTCAAAGTCTAAATGTGTTTTGCATCACAGATGGAAAAAGATATTAAGAGCTCTCTCTGCTTTCCTTTGGGTTTTCATGCCTCCAGACAGATCTGTAAAATTCCCCTCAGTAAAACCAAGGTTTGCATCCTGTGATGTGCCAAAGGCATGACGGCCCGCTCCAACGTTTCTCTAGCAAAGCTGTTTCAACTGGAAGTCTTCCTTCTACTTCATGTTCACAAGCATAGAAAACGCCCCAACCCTCAGCTGGTTGTTAGAGGTGCAAGAGTTATGTTTATGAGCTAAAAAGAAGGTTGAAAGGCTGCAGAAAAGACTTCCTGTGGAAA